AAAAAAAAAAAAAAAAAAAATCTACTATCTTGCCATTCGATAAAATCAAAATAAATCACTCACTTCCACGGTACATTCTTCAAAAAGGATTAAAAAAGGAAGAAAGAAAGAAAGAAAGGAAAAAACAAAAAGAGAAAAGAAAAGAAGACAAACATATATATATATCTACCTTCTCAGTAGTTAAACTAGAAACGATCAAACACGAAAGCAGAAGCACAAGGGAGTGTAACTTTGAACATCCACCGCGAGGCAGGTCGAGCACGCGCCCTCTAATCTCTTTCGTGTATCTCTCGGTTGCATTAGAAACTTCGTCAGACCCGATTATATTCCGGGATTAATAATTTAGAGGCAATTAGAAAACGCGTGTCGTTGCATACGTGGCTGGATTCCGCTCCTGTCTCGAGCGACGTTCAACGAAAATGGATCCCTCCCTCCCAGCCGGTTAAAGTCACCTCGACCAACCCTAGTAAAACAAAACCATCCAGACTGGGAGGAAAGGAGAGGGGGTGGATTGAATTAATTAACGTTAAACTGAAGGGGTGGACGAGAACATGCATCGATAGAGCACGAGCCGAGCTATATACAGAGAGACATGCTGGGCCACAAGCACACGCACACACAGAGAGAAAGAGAGAGAGAGAGAGAATAGATATATAGGAAGACAGGCACATCCGGTTGATCTACACACTTGGTCGCAATAAAACGTCTAGAGCAGCAAGCTTCAACAGCTTGGAAAAGGAATTCTGTTCTTGCGTGATTCTCTAACCTGAGTTGAACGTCCGGTGAATGGCGTTCGGTGTGGTGGTGGCGGGGACAGGGGCACTTTCTGGAACGGGAGGACAGAAAAGATATCGAGTTAATCGATTTCGTCGAGAGATCTACCGCTTTGGGTGGGCTTTGGGTGGGCTTTGGGGGGGGTGGACTGGGGAACTTGTCACCGAAACCATCGCGATATAGATTACTCCATTCGCTTCTTCCCCGTATGCAGCATATATATCGTATCGTGTACGTGTGTGTGCATGTGTGTATGCATCGTTGTTCATTCATGGCGTCCATTCGTGGCGCTCCCTTTTTCTTTCCGTCTCCAGTCACGGATCGTCGTTTTCTTCCGTCGCGATAACAGGTTCGCGGCTCTTTTAGAATGTACGCGCATTTATCTTGGCCCACGTTACGTGAATTCCACGCGGGGGAAAAGTTTGTTTCTCCTCTCTCTCGGTTTGTCGAGTCTCGGCGAATGATATATCGCGCATAACCCGCGCGAACCTGTTATCGATTCGAATAAAGGGAAATTCTCCTCCTCTACCTCCTCCTCCT